TCTTTCTGTGTCTTACCCTCTTGCTTGAGGGTGTCAATGATGGCCTTCTGGACAGCAGTCAGGTCGGCAGTCTTACCCATGATTGCGGTTTTGAGTAATGAACAAGGCTGGGAGTTTTTAAAAGACTCAGGAATCTTTTGCAGGTGTTTAGAGTTACGTCATTGATTCAGATGGTTAGGTTAATAGCTTGTTTAGAGAACCTTTTCATGATATGCTAATTTTTTGGGACAGACATTTTGGGTTTTCATGAGCTGTATGCCATAATCATCAGTATTAAAACAATTAAAGACCTGAAATATTTCAGTTGGTGTGCAATGAATCTGAAATATATGAAAGTTTCATTTTTATCATTGCATTATGGAAAATAATGACCTTTATCACAATATGCTATTTTTTTGAGAAGGACCTGTATATCCTTTTAACGATGCAAGCGATCATTAAACTAAAACACTTTATTAACCTTTATTAATTAAGCAGTCACAGTGCATTAAATAAAACCGACATGTTTCCTGTTTAATAGTGAGACGACCCTTTTCTGTACTCTCCCTGTTTATCTGTAGTCTTAATTTATGATTTTAAACACCAAACAATATTTACCTAAATGAATAAAAGTACAAAACTATATATCAGGTGCTTTATAAATTGTTTAGAAATTAGATGAACTAGTTCACTAAACTATGAGTCAATCTGGGGTTTTTTGGGGGTTTTTTTTTTTTTTTTTTTTTTTTCAAAAATAAACCGTTGAGGAACATTTTAAGCAACAGCTTCTAATAATTAGGCCATTTCTGTCATTTACAAACCACGGCTAGCATGACTCGTTTCCTGCTCCGATTGTCATCATCTGCTCTGCCATGTGATCAAAGCAGATGTAAAAGCGTCTCACCCTCCCAGCCTCAGCCACAGACAGCAGCGCTCTACATGTGACTGAAACAACAGAAAGTGTCAGACAGGATGTGGATTCCTCTTCTTCTCCTCACGCTCTGCTTTTCTACGTCCCAGACTGAGGGTGAGTGAACTTTATATATTTATGTGTTTATACGGTGTGTTTCTGGAGTGATGTTCATATAGTCAGAGATGTTCCGTATCTTTTGTTGCTCTGGATTCAGATTTGTCACTCAGTTCAACCATCAACAGAGCTCCTTGTGACCTTTTCAATTTCTGTGTCCCTTCAGCCCAAGCATGTGCGAGCATCCCCAGTAAATGTGAAACAGAGCAGAGTTGGACCAGGTAAGAGTATTCTAATCTCATGATGGATTCTTGTTTTGTTTTTCTTTGTTTGTTTGTTTGTTTTGGCCGTTTCTTTTTTTTTTTTTTTTTTTTTACCTTTTTGTAAAAACCCTTCTAGAAACAAATGATGGAAATTAGCATTATTTTCCCCATCATCTGAGTCATTTAAATCAGTGGTTCTCAAACTGGGGTCCCCGGTGCTTTGGGGTCCACAAAAAAAAAAAAAAATTATATATATATATATATATATATATATATATATATATATTACAAGCACGTAGATGTTAAAAAAAATCCATTACAATACATCAAAACGCAGGAAATTGTATCTACTTTATTCAAAATTTTCTGGTTCCTTCCCCTCACAACCTGCCCGATATTTGCATTCCAGCAACAATTGGTTTACAAATGAAGATGTTACTTGGTTTGACTACTGCTGTCATGATTCTGTTCAGTTTTATGTAAAGAGTTTTCTAGAAGTGGTGATTTATTTATGATCATTATGTGAATAGGTAAAGTATTAAAGTGTTTTTTGATACTATTAATTCTCTCAACTGTAATTTTTGGAATTTGAAATGTAAAATTGTTAATTAAGTGTGTCTTGAATGGAAAATACTCCATGTTTAAAAGTATAAAAATTGTATTAACACTATTAAAGAACATGTCTTAAGTATTTATGTTACACAAATAGTTCCATTGCATTAAAGAGACAAATTGAAGAAAATATTTTAATAAACATGAGGGTTATGAGGGGGTCCCTGAAAATTTTTCTCCCCTGTAAGAGGTCCCTGAACACAAAAAGTTTGGGAACCCCAGATTTAAATAACTTGTATGACTTAACGCAGCTTTGACAGTAGACCTTAATGCTGCCACAGCTTTCTGCTTGTATCTTTGTGTGTTATTTTGTCTGCACTGTTGGCAAAATACCTCACGAACAACAACAAACATTATACAGTGAACCCTCGTTTTTCGCGGGGGTTACGTTCCAAAAAGAACCCGTGATAGGCGAAATCCGTGAAGTAGTAACCTTTATTTTTTTTTACAATTATTATACAATGAAATACTTCATAATACATTCAAACCAAAGAACAAAACCTTTTTACAGGCCCAAGCATTTGTTTAACAAATAAAAGTACTGTATAAATGTTTTTTTACAAATAACTACTGTACTGTAAAATAATAATTTTAATCATCAATACGAACTGAAGGCTTCAAATTGCAGAGATCAGCATCGCCCCACCGCGACCCGAGTCATTGGATTAGAACGGGAGAAGCGGAGAGACTGTTTAGCCAATCAGAATGCAGAACACAATGCACGATGCAAATCCGCGAAGCAGCGAGACCGTGAAAGGTGAACCGCGTTATAGTGAGGGTTCACTGTAATGACATTTAAAAAATGTTTTTTGACTGTACCTTTAAAACTGATTAACTTTTGAAGTCAACCCAATCATCCTTATTTTACACAAAAATGTATTTACTTTAGTGAATCACACTGTTTAGAATTTGTTGTGGTAATGAGAGTAATTTACTGCATACTCTGAGCACTAACAGATCATGCACATTCAAGGAAGACCTTGGATTACACTGTGCATAAACTTTACTTTTAAAGTTCAACCAAAATAGTTGTTATTCCATTTTTCAACATAAAATAATCTTGGTCTCAAAATCTGGCATGACAAACAGTGGCTGACATGGATTCCTTCAAGGAATGAAATTATGGAGGGTGGAATGTGACTAAATTAAATACATAATTAAATGTATCATTTAATTATTCAATACATTATTAAATCAATAAATATACATATAAATGAATACACAATTACATGGGGCATTTAATTAATTATTTGTACTTTTTTAATTAATGACATTAATACAAATGTATTTTTAAATAAAAAATATTGAAAATGACATTTAATTATTAATATCATCATTTATAAAGGTAAATGTATTTATTTAATGAGACATTTAATTAGCTAATTGTTTATTTAACAATTTAATTGTATAATGTAATGATTTAAGGATGTATTTATTTATTTAACATTCCACCCTCTATATAAATGCCTGTAGTTTGCTTTCCACCAGAAACTGTAAATGTACATGAAAATAGTTCTTATAGTGTTGTTCTAGTTGAATTTGCTGTAATCAGAATCAGTCTTTATTGTCATTGAACTGAAGCACAACAAAGTGTCATTTCAGTACAGCCAGTCCAAAGAAACACAAACAACCAAACAACATAAACAAGGGTAGACGGGTGCCTGGGGCTGCAGCCTCATGAGAGGTGCTGCCTTTTTTATTGGATAAGGAAAGGGGAACACAAGGAAAGAAGAGGTAAAAACAAAAAATAATAATATCTCTCACACTAACAGTGTGAGTTTGCAAAAAACAAAAAAACTCAGCACAAAAAAAGCAACATGCAGATGACATAATAAGATGCATGTGGAGTGGGTGAGGGTAAGTGGGAGGTGGGGGGCTCCCTCATATGTTCAAAAGAAATAATTCAAACCATGTTTGTTGATAGGTGTTATGAGGAGGCCATTGCACAGTGTTCACTTCCTCGTTTCTCGAATCTCAACATCAAACGTAACTGGGTGAATTCATTACAGAAGGTAAGGCTAAACTCAGATCAGCCAGCTTTTAGCGGTAGAAAAACCTTCAATGAAATGCATAATAGACTTGTTCTTTCTAATATGATCTGTGTAACGTGTTGTTCGCATGCTGATGGACACCAACTGTATCAACATGTGACGACCCAGTCAGGTCATCTTTGTGCTTGTAAACACAACAAAATCAAACTTGTTAGAGAAAAAGGAAAGAACGCCTGGAAGCAAACATTAAGAATGATTACAAAGCTTAATAAATGAAAGAGATGTTTGTTTGTTTTTACATATAATAGGTAAATTTAGATGTTTTAGCTCCTTTTTGTGACCGCTTCATGAATGCCATCATACTGTGTTTAGCTGCAGTCAGTTTTAAACCAACATTCACACAAAAGGACAGACTCATAAACAAGCTGTGTTCTGTTTATGGCACATTATAGTTTTCAGTTTCTGCATGAGATTCAGAGTCGTTTTTGTTTTTGTGTGTGTGCTTTTGTGTACACAATTTTGTTCCACCTCATGTAACACATGTGGTGAGAATGACAATAAAGAAACCTTGACCTTGATCTTGACTTTTTGCTTTTTAGGCTGAAGTAAACGTGACGACAAAGTACACGGTTCAGATCCCGCCCTCGGCTCTTCATAAAAGCAGATGGAATGAATCTGAGAAGGAAGTCCTGCTGGTGGTCTCGGTGATCAGCAGCACATTTTTCAAGGTCCATGTTTTTAACATGCAATTAACCCAAAAAATTAGACTTTCACTTTTAATCAGTTGTTTTTTTCATTGACACATTGCAGCCCTTTTAATCCTTTTTAGCACTGGTTTTCATATTTGCTGCATCTTGTGAAAATCAAACTAAGCTTAATTCTGATTATACTGCTACTTTTGTTGAAATATTTAAAAACTCTGTGTCACTGTACAGCAGCAGACTCCTCGTCCAAGAAAAGGAAGAGGTGTATTTCCCCTGCAGCCAGTCCTCCTACAGGGAGAGGTTCTAGGACAGGAAGTCCTGTTTGTGAGGGCAGGATCCAGACCAGTCAAAAACCTCACTCATCTCATCACGTTAAGGTTCAGGCATAAAGAAATTAAAACAAATTCAAAGGTAAAGCAACAACAAACAAAAACATAAAGACAGATGTAAAAAAAAAAACCCCATAAAACTATGCTTTTTTCTAAATGTTCTAACTCCACTTTCTGATCCCTTTTATTTTTTTCAGGCATTGAGTGTAACTTGTGTGTTTTGGAATGACTCGGTGCCTCTGAATGAACCAGGTAGATTACACATGCAGCCATTGTAGTACTCCTAAATAAGAATGTAGACATAGATTGGCACATTGTTGTGTGTGTTTTTAGGTCGCTGGAGCACGTATGGCTGTAGTACAAGGAGAAATGGAGAGGAGATTATTTGCAGCTGCAATCATCTCAGTTTCTTTGCTGTTCTTGTGGTAATTTGTTTCCCTATCACATATTTCCAAAACTGTGATTATCCATTAAAAATAACTCACCCAAGTGGGACCATTGCAAAGCAGGTACTGTAGTTGTAGAAACATTTCACATTAAGCAGCTTGGATCTAAATGTTGCATGACATCACATTTTTACAACTATTTCACAGCCATAAAATAATAAAGATGGATTTATCTGCTGTATTACATATAGTACATGTCAGAGTTGAGAAACTATGACAGAATAAGACTACTTCTTTTTTCACATTGTGATTGTCACAGTTTCCTCTTTTCCAAGCAACTTATCTTCCCTGGTTTGATCAACCTTTAAATGCAGTTTTGCAATAGAATGGCTCAACAAGTCACGCGTTATTGCTGCTTCAAGATGACCTTATGGATAATGGGCGCCCTTCACTATAAACTTAGTGATTAAAAAAATCCACATTAGTAACAAAATAAAGTCTCATGAAGAGGCTGCCATCAAAGCACTTAATGTAAAATCATCTCTGCTGTACTTTATTGTTTTGTTTTAGAACCCAAACACAGAGGTGGATGAAAATCACAAGGACAACCTGAGCTACATCACCTATGTTGGATCAGGACTCTCTGTCCTGTTTGCATTCATCAGCTTGTTCATCTATGTTGGTCGGCAGTAAGTTGGTTTATTTTATGTATGTATGCATGCATGTATGTATGTATGTATGTATGCGTGTATGTACGCATGTATATATGTATATATGTAGGTATACATGTACAAAGTATTTTACAAATTATTATAGAGTAGATAAAAACATCTTAAAATACATTCTGAACCAGGGCTTAATTTGTAAACCGATTGATACTGGAATGCAAATAGCAGGCAGACTGGGGGGGTGGGGGGTGGGGGGGGGGGGGGGGTGTGGGGGCCCCCCCACAAGAAAAAGGGGGTATAGTAAAAGGGGTTTTCTGTGGTATTGGTGTTATTTTAATTTGGTTTGCAACGCTTAC